GGGGGGGGGGGGGGGGGGAGCCAAAAGAAGAAAAATAAGCTCAAATGTCACGCGAAGTGTGTTTGTGTGGAGTGTATACTCATATAAACGCATGCCATGGTCGTTAGATCGTTGACCCCGCACCCCTACAATGCCGGACGGAGGGATATGCTGTGTGTGTGCGGGGGGGGGGGAGGTTCTGGGAGACCATCGTGTGGCAGATACGACCATGCAGCCACCGATCTCGGCACGACGCGGGTGTATTTGCACGTAGGGATGCCTACAACACTTTTCCTTATTGATGAAGCAGTGTACGTGCACCCGAAACGCCACCGTAAAACTCAACCCCCTGTACCTACGCACTATACAAGACTACAACAGCACGCGTTGTCCCGCGTACACCCCCCGCTGGACCTATGCGGTGTACTCCATAAAAAAAAAAACGACATGATTTGTCTTTTTCTGCTCACCTGCTCGAAACCGTGTTGAGGCAGGGGGACCCGCTGATTGCAGTGCTCGAGCACGAAGACCCTACCGCAGCTGGAGCAGTAATGGCGAGACTGTGTCATCCCGAACGCCACCCCCGACTTCATGCAAACCTGGCATACGATCGCGGTCGGGCGGATCGACGCCAAGATGAGAGAAAACACGTTAGCAGCAAACGGGGCGGACGTAAACGTTAAGCCTTAAAACAATACGCCGGAGCAGCGTGAGAGCGGGGGGGACAAAACCAGCACCCATAAGGGTCGCGCAGGCGGGGGCAAGCCCATGAGAAAGAATAACCACAGAGTGCAAATGACTTGATCAAACCACGAAATTCGCAAACCTTCCAGCCTTCCGTTCAATCCCGACCTACCCACGCCCTCCGGCTGGTCGACTCGAACAAACATGCGCGAAGCCAGCATACCATATAAACTCAAAACACACAGGACACATCACTTCCGAGGTGTGTACCCTTTCATTGGGTAGTTGGGCCTGTGACCACGGAATGGCGTCCGCATCAGTTGGACCGGTGCAGCGAAAGCACTCAGCGAGAAGACCGGAGAGGTTCCGAATGCGATACACAACGGCAGACAATAAACCGCGGGCATGACGACTCTCAAAATGATCCACCCGCTCCAACACAACCAAGGGCAGGATGACAATGAAAGCGACCGACCAAAGCCATCAACACAACCAAGTGCAGGATGACAATGAAAGCGACCAACCAAAGCCGTGACGACGACCGACCACCTCTAAACCAGAACGGAGCACCCCCTGAACGCCCACCTCGCTCTCCGCCGGCCGCGGAGGCTCTAGCACCCCCCTATGCAACGCCTCCCGGCTTATCGCAACTCCCCCGGCGGACGGTGCGGGGCCGACCCCGTCCGTGCCTAGCGCCATGTCGAGCGCAGTCCTCATCCAGAGCATCCACTCGTCGTGGTGCCGCTTAGACGGCACGGCGCAGTAGTTGGTGTGGCCCAGGCGGGTCACGTACACGAAGCCCTCGGGGTGCGCCCCGCGTTGAAGAGATTTTCCTGTTGAACGGTCATTCTTTCGGTCGGCATTTACTGGTTGTGTCGAGAGACGCGACATTTTCCCAGCATCTCTCCCTTTCGTCTAGGAATACGTAACTAACCAACACTAATCACAAGCACAGCAGCAGTGACGACCACCCCTGTAGCAGCCCAAGGGTCTTGATTTTGGGGGGGTGATTTCGAGTTGGACAAGGGAGGAGGGATGAACGGCCGAGGTGTACAGAGGTTGACGTCCCGGGGCACACGGGATTGGGTGGTTCACGTTACCAAGGAGAAAAATAACAAAAGTGCTCGCGCGATTGCATCCCACGGACACTCGGTTCAGCTGCCATATTCCAACTGCTGTGTGTACTGCAGAGTATCGAGCGTCGAAAATCCATCCACGGGGGGTGGTATCTCACGTCACATATGGTAAAGCTGCCTCTAGGCGAATTGTCCAAATTTGAACCTACAGCGTAATGCTTTTCAGTTGTGACCAAGTTTGACATATTTTAGGCCCTCTGGACGGGGGTGTTTGGACAGCCCACCAACACGTTCTTACCCGTCTGGTTCGCTCGCCCCTTCATTTGTTCTTCGTACTTTTCTTACGAAAACACACATGTTTCTGACGAAAACATAACAATTTCATCTCTTCCACAGAGTAAGCTCATAATTGTAGATTGGCACTGAGTTCACAGCAGTAGTGTGCTGCACGGTGACCAACTTGTCTTGTCACTCCTCGCCGCAACAATCAATTGGGGAGAATTCGCACGGAGCGAACTGTTGTGACACAAGAAAAGCCCTCGCATCGCCGGTAAAAATATGATGGAATTGTTGGTGAGAACGTGTATTGGGAACGCAAGAATTACATAATATGCATGCCCACATACATTGTTGTTGCAGTGCTGTATGGGGGCATGCACGGATTCCATTCAGGAGGACAGCCAGCCTCAAAATTCTGCCGTGCAATCAAGCTGACACTTCGGCGTGGTGGCCTTTGCGTGTGCGTAGGAAACAACACCAGTACACCGCACGCGCGACGTTGGATGCGGTTCTCCGCATGGTTTACAGGCAGACCAATCTCGACAACCCTCGAGCGAATGAATGGCGAACAGCAACAGCGGCAGCTGGGTTTCTGCTGCCTGCCTTGCCCAGCGAAGGTTGTTCGTCTCTCGCTGCGTGCTTACCCTTCCACGCTGACACTCCGATGACCTCTCCCTCAGCCTTTGGCGGCGCTCCCGAAGAAAAGTCGTCCTCGGATTCAAAGTCGAGCACCAGCGTGCCAACCAAGACACAGAACTTCTTCTCCATGCTTCCCATTAAGTTTGAAGTGCTTTTCCAGAGTGTTCCCTTCATCATGGTGGCTGGTTGGAGCAAGCCCACAGTCGCGCCGCTGTGTGCAACGCGGTTCANCGTATGATACAGCAACAGAGCAAGATCTGCTCGTGCTGTTGTACGTGTTGTTGCCGAGGTGTGCTGTTTCTTGTTTGCTTGAAGTCATCATGCCTGCTTGCCGCACACGGTTACGGCCCGCACCTCTCTGACTGGAGTTTGTGTACACTTAAGTGGGCAAAGTGAGCGTGTTTGCGTAATGCCAACCACGAGAGCCGAGCGGAGGAAAACAAATAAAATAAATGTGCTTGTCCTCTGTGCGTTCGCAGTGTTCCGTATCACCATAGAATAGGCGTATTATATGCACTCCGAGTATTATTTTTTTTCCATGTTTCTTCAATCCGTGCTCGGCGTGGCGAAAACAAAAGTTCTACTCCATCCGTACCGGTCGTGCGGGACGAGACGAACGGAATATCTCTCCCGTCTCCCACGCAGGATGCAAACACATACGCCAGACAACAAAACGCATAGAGGAGGACAGAGCCATCACCCTTGACGGTCAACGCATGATATCATACATAATACTTAATTGTCTGGATCAAAGGTGGAGAAAGAGCAGGTCCCGCCGATAAATACATCTACAACAACTCAACACCAGCAGATATTTCAAGTCCCCAACCCTCAGATTGACATGTGCCCACTGGCGGGTCCTACAGCGGGCGCTGGCGAGGTCTCAGGTCTTGAAGGAGAGTACCTGTACTCTGAAATATTGTTGCTTTCGAAAAAGTCCGATAGTTTCTTCTGCTTGAGTGCAACGTTGCAACGTTGCAACTTCAGCCCTGCAGGCTTTCATGTAGGCGATCGCGACTGCGTCCATGAGGGTGCTGATCTGTTCAAGCTTCAAAGGCACCCCGCTAGCGACTCTTTCACTCGCTCTATCTCTGTCCCCTCTAGCGCGCTTCGATGCCGGAGGCGGTGTCGAACCAGAAGTCGAAGCAGAGGACGTCCTGACTATCGTATCCACCCCTTGGTGACATCATCAGCCCCTCTGCAGCAGAGGTAGTCGTACAACCACTCCAGAGCGAGCAGCGTGCCGTTCCTCCTCCGTCTCTCCGCGTACCTGCGGCGTTGTGCGGGTGATGAGAATGAGTGAGAGCGGATTAATCGTGGCATCTTTCGCTACCACACATATATGATGCTTTACGATACTCAACGCAGCTCTCGACAAAGGCATTTTGCGATAATTTCGGCGACAGTTGTTTTCGCGTAATGTCCTGTGGAAACAGTCCCTCGACAATCTCGCCGACATCAAATTTGACGATAGTGTACCTCTTCAGAAGGAGGTATATTTCCTCCTTCCTTTCGCTTTGCACAGCTCCGTACGCGTGAACCTTGGCGTCCTCCCCCAACAGGAAAAATAGGCAGTCCGGAGAATCAATGACCCTCAAACCGATGCGCCACGTGCCATCCATGCACAGGAACTGCCCCCGATACTGCGAGTGGATTCGANATGCACAGGAACTGCCCCCCATACTGCGAGTGGATTCGCGTTGCATGTGCTCCTTGTCCTGTGGATGACGACAGAACGCAAAACCGGATGCACCAATGCATTCTCGTAGCTCTCGGCCTTGCTCGCCTGCGACCAGGATCCTACGATACGTCTTCATGTTCAGTGGAGCAAGCAACAGCAATCACATGGGGCGGATGACCAACGAGTTTTCAGTGGCGCCACTCTTATCACAGCGAAAATCAAGGAGGACAATCAGAGTGCAACCCAGCTGCCCAAACACACCACGATCGAAAAAGAAACGGTACCGCTTTCAGCTCAGGGTTACACCTGCAGATCGCCCTCCGTCGCCCTCACTTGGTCCAGTAGAGTCTCTGACGTGCCATTTTGCCTAAAGTAGCGAAAAGGCAATCGCGAGACAATCTCCTCAGGT